AAAAACTACATATCCAATATTGTAATACATATCTCTTGGCTCCAAGCTCTTTCTGCTAGATACACATACACACACGTGTTTAGCACCTATCATAAAACCCAAAGTTCATACGGGAAAAGTATTCACAGAAGGCAATTTGCTTAAATCCGGAATATAAAAATAGAATAACACACTTAACAAGAAGGAAGCAAATTGTGTCTATCGAGTTCCACTTTCATTTCCACGAATTATATATATTTTTGCATCGGCAAGAAAACTAAAAAAAGGAATTTGCTGGAGAGATATTACAAAGAACGTATGGTCTTTTGATGCTGTCGCTGTTATTTATACAGGATGTATCAAAACTAAGTGTCAAAGTGGCTACGAGAATTTCACCTGAAAGCTCATCTCATTGGCAATTTCAGTGCGTAGATTAGTAGTAGAATAGTTTGACGATAACACCCACAGTCGGTCCCAGAAAACATTTTTTTTAACTCAAATCCGGCACCACGTTTGTCCCCGATTTCTTGAAACGCATATCCGAATTTAGGCCTCAATTTGCCTAGGTTTCTTTCAGTGTAACAACGACAAGTGAAAATGAAAATTCTGCTCCACAAAGTTTTATATTTTTAGGTTTAGATTATTTATCTTCAACAACCGATGCATATCTACGATCTCCATAAAGGTTCGTTTCCTTGGTAAATCCGACCCGGAGATTCCGAATCTGATGTCAGTTTGTTGGACCCACAGAAACTATCAAACGACGCATTTCAGACCCCTCATATTCCAAGATTTTTTTTTACATAATGTTAAAAAACCGATAAAATGTCAACTTGTTGACTAGATAGTTGGTAGTGTGCAAACAGTTCATTCCGTGCCTGCTATAAGTGAGCAAAACTTGAGCAATAGCTAGTTCCTAGTTGACAACTTATAGGAGAACCCACATAATGTCAAAAAAACGACATAATGTCACTTTTTTAAAATATGGACAATGTAGCAGTACTCGAGGCTAAGTTTTTATCTGGGCCTTGAACAGGGTGAGGGGGTTATGCAGAGAAAATTACTTCTTAGTCCTAAACAAATAGCTTAGCTTTAACCCAGCAGCTGTGTATGACGAAATGTGTACGTGCCGTTATCTCGTCAAAACCGGATGAACGCTAGGACACTTCTTGTTAGTCGAGGTACAGTACCGTGTTTCAAAATCAGATTCGCGGGAGACAAGTCATTTTGACATTATCTCAGCCCTTCACAGTTTTCACTTGCATCATGCTGAATAGATGAAGCTTCTGGCGTTAGTCATTTTTTAAGGCTGAATCAAAGAACAAACGTCATGTGAAACTAACATGTCTGACAAAAACAAAATAGATGAGTAGAACCTTAAAATAGCAACCTAAATACTATAATTACGATTTGTTGATCGTCAAAAATAAACATTTAGGCCATGATAACAATCACTACATTGCATCTATAATGGTAAACATCATATTTGCAAACTTGTCATGCACAACGATTTTATGAAACTCGCTGTGTATATAAATAGAGATATTTGGAAATCCGTGTTTCCTTTGCAAAAAAGCTCTAAATGGCTTTTACGATCAGTTAAATCACTACTACATAGTATACACTATACTACGTATTATAAACTACAATAATTGCTATGACTGAGCTGTGGTCAACAGAAATATCTTGAAAACATCTAATTTGCGAAATAGGCAACCCTACAGAATTAACCTTATTTTGACGAATGAATTAACTACAAAAACGCTTCAGCTTCGTGGAAGGCCTTTATAATCCGCCGGTCGGTGAAATTCACCTTGGGAGACATCTGCATTATAGTTTGGAAGCCGATCGTAAATCGCGTACTGATACGATACGATAAAAACTAGTCACACCTGACTTAAGATTTGGCCAGTTTTTAACATTCCATGTCAATAAGCAATGTAACCAAAACTTTACGGTCTGCTCTTGGACTACAATTACTTTTTTTTATACTTGAATCTATATGAAGGCCTAAACACCCATGGGTACCATAGGGCTATAGATAGGAGATACAGAAGAAAGTGGGGACGCCACACGGACTCTATCGAGGGTACACGTGCTCATGCAACACGCACACATTCTGGCCACACCTTAGAGATCCGCCGGGTGGTACCTCCTCGTTCGACAGTCAGAGACCACCATAGCTAAGAGAAAAATTCTTTTGGGACGGGATCCAAATCCGCACAGCGCCTGATCATGCCCAGTTATTTTGAAATTAATATTTATTATTATTATTAATAGACCTATAACATTTACCACTACGCCACCGCTGCTGACGAAGTTTTACTGGTATCTAAAAACAGCGATCTATGTGCGGATTGTCCTTGGATACCGAGCCGGTGTTGCCAAACTGCCTTAAAATATTTATAAAATGGTACATTTACACTAAGCAAAATGGAGTCCAGTTCGTTTCACAGTTCCTCACCATGAATAAATATCCAAACAAAAGTAAATTTGAACAAAAAATGTGTTCACTACAAGTGATGGTCAATGAATTCATCCAAGGAAGATCATCTATTTGGCAACAACTCATTTATGTCCGACTAAATGAGAACAGCTGTGTTTAGATGCCATGAGCTTTTGTGGATGCCATGTTGCTGGAGTCATCTCTTATTTCTCTCTAATTTTATTCAACTTGTCTAACTGTCTTCTCTTTAATAACTGTGTGGGCAATGCTTTGGGGTATTTTAAGGTATATGAGATTGTTGATTTCATCAGAACAACTCTGTGCAGCATTATCTGGCATTATCAGTTCATGTCCCCAAACTAAAAATAATAACCAATAAATCATTATGAGGCTACTCTTAGATCAATGGAGCTAAAAATAGTGTAATAGAATAGCATCTTTATCTAAGGATAATAGTTTTAAATGCAGTTACTGACAGATCTTGTCAAAGGGTTAGGTGCATACAGATTTTTTTCTGTACACCTCACTGCCTGCAACACAAAATCCTATTCAGAATAGAGAAATGTTAGTTTGAGCCTTCTGCCAATTTAAGTGAAAAGTTGGTATTAAATTCATGACCTAAACAAAAGATTTACACAAGAGAAAAAATTTAATCAAGTGTGAAGATGATGCTTAAACATTTTTCAGACCATTCATCACTTTAAACCTTGAAGTTTCTGAACCCAAAATGTTCCTTTTCATCACTTATTGATAAAAGTTAAGAAAACTCAGTATCTCTGTCTAATGGGGTAATTTGGGAAGCTGATTTTGGCTACAGCAATCAAAAAAGTTTTGTCAAGTCATATTGGAATACAAACTGTTTAGGCACCTATCTCAGCAACAATCTGATATTAGATTCATGGTATATACATATTTTGCAATTTACCCAAGTAACCAGATTTAGTCAAGATTGAAGACATGCAAGGATTGTCAAAATTAGTACAACATTAGTGTTCCCAGGCAGTGTATGCAAAATTTCCGCTATTATCAAGCAATATAATAAGCAAACCAAACTTGGTACTGTTGGGAATTTAGGATGCTGCTTTCATCTATGGCCACCCAAAAAGTGCTAAATTACTGCAGCCCCATTTGGAGGACCACCAACCTCAGTGTATGAGTATACTCTATTTCACAAGTATCCATCACACTTTGACATTTACTGAGGTGAACAGCTGCTCAGCAAGTGACATTTTTGTGTTAGCCTGCAACATTGGCAATAATGAATCAGGTATAAATCTAGTAAAACATGTTTGTAGCATTTTGTTTTTTGTATGCAATTTTCTAAATAAAAGAGCTGTTAGCAAGTATAAAATGAATCTGTAGCATACAAAAAACCAAAAACAAAAGACAGCTGTGACTACCTGACCTTGATGGATCCGTCAGAATTATGTGTCCTGTGCTGATATCAGGAATTTTGAGATATTACTAGATAATCAGCTGTCATTCTATTATGATGGATAATCGCGAAATAGAGTATAAATTTGATATTATATTTGTGGTATAACCATTCAACTTACCTACCCAAAAAATGGAATTTGGTCTAGATTGAATATGCAAAAAAATTTGTGATTTCTCATGAATCATACCCCACATGTAGAATATTAGCACACCTAAGCTATAGCTTGTTACTAATAAATAACATTGCTTTAAAATACACTAAGCCCAAAATACTGTTTGGGGTCTTGTGATGGAAGGTTTGAAAATTTAAGCATTTGTCAGCTTTGAAAACAATGATTTTAACACATCTTTTAAGCACTGGGCATATTTAGGGTTTTTCAGACCTTGAATCTCCTATAACTGTATAACTTTATAACTTTATAATAAATATTAAAATAAACCTTTTTTACAAAATGTCCCAAAAAAACTTAGAAAAGCTGTGTAGCAAAAAATATTACAATTTGAATATCTGTATGAAGAATTGTTTAAATGAGTTTGCACAGGGTTAACGCCCAGCAATACCTTGATGTTGAAGGACATGAAACTAATATGAAAATGAAAAATATGAGCTAGAAAACTTCCCCTAAGAATGCAAGGTTTTTGCTCATCTATAATAGAAATTCATTCAGAATGATTAATAAGAAAATGGGGAAAATGTCACCAACCAAAAAAAAATATTATTACTCCTTTCTATAAAAGGTAAACAATATTATTATTTATTCACACCGGCGATGACGAATAAATATTGCAGATTATTTATGAATTTAATGTTGACAGCTCATTCCCACTTGCCAATATGAATTAGAAATTATTCCCCACATTTTAGCCTCCAGATTAATGCATTGTCTAGACGAGACTGAACGTAATATGAGTACAAAAAGACTCAAGAACACAGAGCTCACTACAAAAAAATTTAAAAAACAATCAAAATGTCTTCTATAAAATAACCTAATTATAAACATAATTTAAAAATAGAATTTGACATAACGTGACAGCCATGAGCTCCAGAGATGGGAAAATATGAAAAATGCAAAGAAATTACAATAAATAGGTAGCTCATCCGAATTAGTACGGTATAGTGTCACAAAAACACCCTCACCTTTATGTAAAAATGTATATCCACCCAAAAAGTTTCAGCCTTAATGTGCTCACGAAAAACTACGTATAAACTATAAAACTGTACAAAACACTGTTCCTAATATCACGTCCATCAATGTCCAAATATTTCACTTCACATGGTGGTATTTATCACCTTTTATTCAACATTTTAAAGAGGCAAAAGTGCAGAAATGTCTACAGTCCGCCATCTTTTTACAGTTTAAAAATAGTTCAAGACATTGGAATTACAAGAAATATTTAAATTTGTTTTTTTTGCCTGCATATATCTTTATCTCATCTTTCAGCTACTCACAATAACCGAATTAACAGATTTTGTACAAAATACTTGTTTGTTGGTTGGGTATTTTTCGGAAATTTCAGGAATGACTCATTATTTTGACACAGAACAATCACTGTACAAAAAAGTGACAGGTGAGTGTCATTTACTCTATCTCGAGGTAAGTATAATCAAATCCAAGCGAATAACCAAAATTTCTGTGTTATGTGCCGCGGTTATAATATGGTTCAAGATGACACACGGGTTGATGACGTCAGTTACACGAATCGCTTGAACGCGTTGGTTTTAACCGCGGTTTTGTTGCAAGTTGTTTATTTTAGAAACGCGCGTATATAATCTCTGATTATTTTTATTATCACTTAATAATCGGTGCTTTTTCGTCTACAACTGTATATGGAAAGTTTAAATAAGAAACCTTTCATAATATTCATGGGAGAAATGTTTTTTTCAGATTTTTTTTTTAATGATGGAACCATGGCTTTGTAGCTATGATATTTTTCAATTCTATAAATTTTTCCGCATGTCAAAGAAAACATTTATTGATTCAGCAGAAATGAAAAAAGAAATTAGCAAAACCGTATACAGGTGGATATCATCTAGTGAGTTTATATGGCCATATTTTAATATTCTTGTGGTATATGGCTACACAGGATACTTTGTTAAGCATAGGAACTACATTTAAAGTGTCCCCAACAACCGTAATGAGTATAACTAATAAGGTGCTCCACTTTATGGTAAAACTGAAGTCAGCCTGTATCATTTTTCTCAAAAATGAAGCTGAAGTACAATAACAATATCCAATACCCGGCAAAATTTTAACTTGTCACATTTCAAATAATAACCAGAAATATAAAACTACTCTTGAGTTGGGTAAAACCACAATTTTGCGGTGATAACTATGACATCTAACAGCTGATTCGTGACGTCACGGATCTTATAACCAAACTGATAACTACACTCGCTTGAACGGATTGGTAAATACCAACCCAAAATGGTAAATACCATTTCCATTTGGTTATCCGCTTGAATTTGATTTATGACGCAAGGTCTTAACAGTTTTAAACCACTAATGCGGGTCCCGATTCTTCCAACATTGTGTACAAGTACAACGTCGTTTATTGTATGCCACACGTCCACACGAGAGTTTGCGAGGCAAAGGAATGCGGGCAAAAAATACGGGATGTTGCCGGACGTATATCTTTTCGCGTAAAACATGGAAATATGCGCTGATAGTGTGACTGTAATTATTATGAAATATTATAGAGCAAATATTATATGATATATGAGATTTTTTTATATATATATATACATATAGACAAAATGTACTACTTATCATTTGAGGAGTACTATTGTGAAAAATGTCATATATAAATATACTAAGCACAAGAAAAATCTAGGATTACGTCACATCTTGGCAACTCAGTAGCGCATCGTCCACCTGACTGGTGGATACTGGGGCCATGGTGGCAAGTGGGCGTTACCTGTAGCTCCATAGGCGTGGAAGCAGGGCATTTGGTAAACGGGTAAACAGTATTCAAAGCGTTGCATTGTCTACTTGCGTTACTGAATTATTTGTGTCAATAATGGAATCGAGGAAAGGTAGAGTTATTCACAGCCAGGCGAGAGAAGTAATAGCCAAAGTAATAAATGGATGTGATGAGGAAGCCTCGAATAGTGTTCTCGTTCACCCCGAAATGAAGAGCTCCAAATCAGGACAAGCGCTGTCTTCTACTGGAAAAAGAGGCCTCGTCCTTCATTAATTGAGAAGTCAGACAAGGCGGATTTTCGCGTCATACGCAAGACGGTAGAAAAATTCTATTGCCAGTTCGAGGTGGTGCCAACATGTCGCAAATTGCTGGTAGAAGTCCGTAATGAAATGGTCTTTCCATATAGCGAAGAAACTTTGAGGCGGCTGTTGAAGGCAAATGGGTTTTGCTGGTGCAAATGCCACAATAAAAGGAAAATTTTGACGGAGAGACCTAACATTTTACACTGGAGGTTCAAGCATTTGCGAAGCATAAAAAAGTACCGGGAAGAAAGAAGGCACATCATTTATTTGGATGAAACATGGGTCAATAAAACGGCTTAACAGTAAAAAAATGTTGGCAGAGTGAAGAAGTTGAGGCTGTTGTAAGCAACATAAGTTCAACAGGTAATAGACTTCCTAAATAAATACATTTTTTTTATATAAATTATCCATGTTTATTTTCAGGACGGCTAATCGTTGTTCATGCTGGTTCGCAAGATGGCTTTATTCCGAACGCCTGTCTCATTTTTAAAGCTGGCCAAGCTACTGAGGATTGCCATGGTCAAATGAACCAGGTAAATTTCACACGATGGTTGACTGAAAAGCTCTTTCCTAATATTCCTCCAAATAGTGTGATAGTATTATATAATGCCCCTTATCACTCAATTTTAGAAGACAAACCACCAACAAAGTCATCGTTAAAACGGAAAATAGTAGAATGGTTGGTCAAGAAAGGCATACCTCATGATCCTAGTTTGAGAAAAATTGAGCTGTATGAGATTGCTTGTTTACACAAGCCTCCACCTGACTGTAAGAATTATAGAATTGATCACTGGCGGATATAGTGGGGGGCGCGGAGGGCTACCTCCCCCCCCCCCAGGCATCTGACATTTACTTTTGCAATCTAACACCATTGTGTTACTTTCTGTCACATCATGGTGACAGAGGCATACTAACTATAAGTTATAGCTATAGGAACTGAGCATTATGATTTTTTGGTATCCTTTGATATTCCAAATGCTGTCCCTCTTTGACATCACTTGTTTACAACACAACTCTTACGACTTATACGTATATACGAGAATTGTGACTTGTGACAAATCTAAGTCTGGGTAATATATTAGCTATACAATTGCACTTAAAAAGTGATTTATGATCTGTTTGTTGTTTAATAGTAATTTGAAAAGTGTGTAAAGCTTGACTGATTCTGTTCGGGGTTGGTGTTGCAGCGAAGCACTATGTTAGATGAATACCTCAACTGAAAATAGACTTTTGTTTAGCGGTGCGCCTGTGGCCTGTCTAGAAACTGCGTCGATCGATGCTGAAAATCAATACCACACGTCTCGCATCTCTTCTCGTCTATGTGTTTATTTATGTTGCTATATTGAATTCGTTTAAATCTCAGAGCTGCTGCTCTATACGTGAATATGTACCCTGAATTCCCGTACTTGTTTAGTACAAACATACATTATCAAAATAATTACGATCTAACTGATATTGTTTTTTCCAAGGATTTCCAACAGTTCTACATGCGATCGACACCAGTTCGAAAACTGAGAAAACAACTATGCCGTAAATCTAAGTTCGACAACGAAAGTCTGAAAAATAACTGTAACATCTATATTCTATACTGAATTTCAAAAACTCTCACCCCTACTGAGCGAGGCCGTGGCAAATGCTTGTTCCGGAAGTTGTTGTATCCAGCATACAACTTCTTCCCGTACAAGTGGTTGTACACGCGTTGAGGGATACCTCAGTAACGATTGCCGGGTGGCGGTACAAGTCCGCCAACGGGCCACTTTACGTCTATTTAATATCATTTACACGCAAAAAGAAGGTGGTAGACAAGGATCAGTCGACCGAGGCGGTACCACCCTATAGCTTTTCCCAGGGTGTCATATATGTGTCCGCATGTTTCCACACCTAAGCTATGATTATCTTCCAAAACAAAGAAATTAATGATGATGGATCCCTCGAGTACTAAGAATTCCGGATGTAAGCTCACTCCATTCTCAGAATGTCCGGGTGGATGGTAGACTCGAGGGAATAACATCGAAGATAAAATTTGTTTCACGAACATCTGTGGGATTAACAGCAACATTGATTCTCTTCATCACTACTTGCAATCCAATCGTCCCGCCATGCTTTTCTTGGCCATCTTAGCTTACCAAATTACGACGTGCACTCCAATCTGAGAAAGAACGGGGGAGTTGTGGACTTTGTCCGCAGCAGTCTTTCCTGCTGCAGAGATGTTCTCTGGAATCAGACCGGAAGAACATTATGTGGCTTCGCCTCAACTCCAAAACATCCTTAAAATTTATTTGCTGCCTTTATCGCTCCCCTCGAACCATAACTGGGATGAACTTCTTGAATACCTCGCCGTCAACATCGACTTCCTGAACATCAATCACTCCGCTTCAGAGGTAGTTCTCCTCGGTGATTTCAATGACGATAATTTGCTTTGGTTGCGCTCAAACAAGACCGATGCAGCAGGTCGTGCAGTTAAAGCGTTCGCTCTCACTCAAGGGCTGACCCAGCTGGAGACGGGCCCTACTTTCTTTGCCCTGCGTCTCGTCACATGCCAGTATCCTGCTGGATCTTTTTCTGACCACGCATCCTGTCCCTTACAGCTCTGCTGTCCTGTCCCCCCTGGGTAACTCAGACCACTGTGTTGTGGAGATTAGGTTTCGGTCAAAACCCGCTGTTGCAGCAGAAACTCGCACAGGCCGCAAATTTGGCATTACGGATATGCCGACTGGGAGGGGATCAGAGACTTCTTCTCTACTTTTCCTTGGAGAAATGTCTGTTTACATGCCTCATACTGCTGATATAATAGAAGTGCTTGATTGTGTCAGTATTTGCACCACTTCCTTGATTTTTTTAATGGGCAGTTCAGAGTCTTAATCCTTAAGCTTATTACATACTAGTAGACCCCGTTGCGCAATTTGTCTATAGGCAGTCTGGAGACGGTCTCACGACACGATCTATAAATGGTCTGCAGACATCCTTCTTTGTCTTGGTCTCATGTTCGATTTCGCAATCAAAGACATTTGTGTGGAATGGACTGGGATATGTCTCAGGGTCCCTCAGAATGTTTTATTTATTTTTTGTCGGTTAACAGAGCAATGAAGTTTCTTATATTTATTGAATCTTTAATATTATTACACTAGTTAATTATAAATGCCACGTACTTATTTTGTTCTCATATGATAAAATATTGGCTTTCTGAGGATTTCTGAGCAATTTCCATGTTTTTTTTTCAAGCTGGCCTTGACCAGATAGAACACAATGTATTTAAGGAGCAGTAATAGGATAAATTCTAGTAGTTCCACTGAGGTTAAAAAATGACCAGCCCCAAATATCGTTTGCGCTCCCCCCCCCCCTAGACGAACTCCTGAATCCGGCCTTGGAATTGATAATCTTATTAGAAGCTTTGGCCATACTGCACTCCGAACACCACCTTACATGTGCGAGTTCAACCCTATTGAGCTAATTTGGGGACACGTGAAATATTTTCTTAGAAGCCACAACATTAGCGGCGAATTTACCCTGAAGACGTTAAATGAGGTAACCACACAAATGATGATAGTGACAATGACTATGTGATGCCACCTCCTTAGTTTGATTGTTGTGTTTGTGTGCTAGGGATTCAACTTCAGATGACCGTGGACAAGGGACATTGTTGGTTACCAATTACTTTTAAGTGCGGGGATAGTTTGGAAGTGATGGATTTGAGCAATTTTGAGGCGAACATTGGATACTAAGACACCATCACGGTAAGACGACTATCTACTCAATTGATTTTCAAAGTTATTGTAAACACAACAAAAAATTATAACTTTGAACATAACATGTCTTCAGAAAAGGCATCATATAAACAACACGTCGCGCACAGCTAATAGATATATTTCATTGGCAGCATATTCAGTAATAATTTTGTCACATAGCAAATATCACTGATTTTATACACATGCAGTACACCTAATCATCCAGATGCGATCTTGCTAATCAACCAACTTTCTTTCTTTCACACCTTCTCAGAGATAAACACTACAGACTACTTGGCATCACAAAACATATACTTGCTTTTTGCAACCAACAATGCGTGTCGTCGAGTCATTCCTCCATAGATGGACACTTACAGCGATCATAGCGAGCAAACGTGCAATGAACTATTTGCACCCTAAAAACTACCTAGTCTGCAGGATGACATCTTGTCGGTTTTTTTGACGTTTTTTCGGTTCTTTACATAATACCCGTGGGTTTCGACTACACCAAAAAAATTACAACTGCTACCCGTACTATTGTTGTGCTCCATACTTGACCCCACACAGCGCTGCCACACATAAAACACACTTTGACGCTTGAACGAAAAATGACAGTGATAGTAAAATTGAGGTTAATGGGGTTTGTTTTGATGATTTTAGGTTGTTTTAATTGTTGGTGTTGATAATTATGTTATTGCAAAATACTCTTTAAATAAAAACATTTTACAAGTTGTTAAAAGTAATTGTGATAAATAGGGCAAATGAACATGTCATCACTACTTTTTTCGTTGCCGGAGTTTTATAACTCCTACAAAGCTTGGGTCAGCAAAAATCCAACATCTGTAGGTGATTGGGAAAATATTGCAAAATGGGTATCATATTTTGTAGCAGGTAAAATGGATTAGAGTTCGTGTATGAATGAAAACAATTAACTCCTCTTTTTCAGGAAGATTAAATAACTCCCAAATAGTATCTGAGCTTATATATTGCCTCTCAAATCTACTGGTAATGCTAAATGATATAATAATAAAAAAATCAACCCATATCTATTCAACTGCTCCAGCAGACAAGGTGAAGCTATGGCTAACAGTTGTTGAATACTCTGAAGTGTTTCTGGAGTTAACGGCTACAAATTTGTGTGGGAATGTTGGAAAATGGATTGTTGTTACATCAATACAGATATTTAAGTAAGTCACTAATACCATTGCTTAACAAATTCGACCTGAAGATAGCTTATCTGCTTATCATATATTTTATGGTATTCCAGCATCCAAAAAGGGATCTAGAAGATACCAGTGCCATCTAAAAGACAGTAGCAGAACTCACAAATAATTTTAGCTGTATTATAATCGAATCCAAGTGAATAACCAAAATTTCTGTGTTCTGTACCGTGGTTATAATATGGTTTAAGATGACACATGGGTTGATGACGTCAGTTACTCGAATCGCTTGAACATGTTGGTTTTAACCGTGGTTTTGTTGCAATTTGTTTATTTTAGAAAAACGCGTATATAATTTCTGATTATTTTTATTATCACTTAATAATCGGTGCTTTTTCGTCTACAACAGTGTATGGAAAGATTAAAAAAGATTAATGGGAGAAAGTTTTTTTTTTTTAAATTTTTTTTAATGATGGAACCATGGCTTTGCAGCTATGATAACCTGCAATTCTTTAAACTTTTCCACATGTTAAAGAAAACATTTATTGATTTAGCAGAAATGATGGGAAAAAGCAATGAACAAAGATATTAGCAAAACTGTATACAGGTGGACATTATCCAGTGACTTTATATGGCCATATTTTAATATTCTTGTGGTATATGGCTACATATGATACTTTGTTAAGTATAGGAACTAGATTTAAAGTTCCCAACAACAGTAATGAGTATATCTAATAAGGTTTATGCTACAACTGAAGTCACCCTGCATCAAGTTTCTCAAAATTGAAGCTGAAGTACAACAAAAATAGCCAATACCCGCCAAAATTCTATCTTGTCACATTTCAAATAATAACCAGAAATATAAAGCTACTCCGGAGTTGGATAAATACCACAATTTTACGGTGATAACTATGACATACAACAGCTAATTCATAATGTCACGGATCTTATAACCAAACTGATAACCACACTCGCTTGAACAGATCAGTAAATACCAATCCAAAATGGTAAATACCATTATCCTTCGGTTATTAGCTTGAATTTGATTATTGAATAGTTAGATTGGTACTGTCTCATATTTGGCACAAGGATCTTCAATTATTATCTCTAATGTCTATTTCAATTGAGTATCTTCAGATGGGATGTATTATTCAATGCCTGAATACACCCACTTAGAATACTAATTAAAGAGGCCAAAAAGGGATTGCAGAGCCTATCACCATTTATGAAACAGTAGCAGAATCAAAACTCTTAACTCTTTTTAAAGTATGTTTCTAGATTCAATTTTTGTGTTCTGCTACTGATAGATCTGATAGGTAGCACTAGTATCTTGTAGATCCCTGTTTGGTTGCCAGAATACAGTATATGGTGAGCTTTACTTCAGGTAGAATATGTTAAGCAATGCTAATATATTAAATATTTATGTTTTAGATGTGTGTCAAGATTAATACTAATATATCATTATAAGGAGAGTATGGTAGAGCATCCACCAATTCCATCATTAAACAGACAAAATTTGAAGAACCCCAACTGCTCAAATTCAATAGCTGATACATCTTGTGGGCAGTTTGAAGCTGTTTCATTTACTTTGAGGAGGTCAGGACGTATTATAAGAAAAGTGGATGCTGCACCACCAGTAGGTATGAAAAATAATTATCTTTTTTGCCCAAAGTGCAGAAGATGATCTAAGATGATGCACTTGCACTACACTTTGGGTCTGGGACTGAAGGGGGCCTGCAACATTGTTTATGTGGTGTGTGAGGAGTAGACAATTTCCTTTACCTGCATTTTTAAATTATCACCAGCAAGCGCCCCATATAAACTTGCTTCAGGGCCCAGAGATCCTAGATCTATCATTGCCAAACTGGACAATTTTATGGGTAAACTAGACTAATTATGCGGCTCTGCTCACATGGAAGTAGTGTAAAGTATAGCTCATTTATTCTGCATTAATGTGAATGAGATTGGTTTCAGAGAAAATTTAATTATTAAAAGTTATGCTATAGTTTGGCAATGAACATTTTGTATCAAACATTTTAATGCAACAATTAATTTCAATGCTTTTTCATATCCTCAACAAAAGTAAGTTTAAAACAGGATACTTAAAAATTTCTGATCTTAAAATGACCTTGAAGATCATGGTTACGTTCATCAGCAAGGATATTCTTGAATTTAGAATTGGCTACAATTTTAATATCAGGAGTTGAAAATGGATGTTTCCCATTAAAAATTCATTTGATCTCCAAAGGACCTTGATTAGCATAGTCAAGGTCATGGACATACTTGAACATAACGTTTTTTGCTATTTTTATGTCCAGTCTCAAAAATAAGGGTTTCCATTTAAGAAAACTGTTTTGATCTTTAAATAAGCTTGAAGGTTACGTTTAAGGTCACCAGTAGATTAATTTTTCCAAACCTTACAACTTTATTACACAACCCTTTTATTTATGAAACGTATTTTTTGAGATATTTTGTCCTTTCTCCACTTTCTGGACACTTACGTACTATTTCGATCTGTCTATTCTTTTCGAACTTTTTTGAGCAGATGAAACCATATAGTTCCTCTGGTTTCAATTAGTAATTGTACAAAACTTTACGTCCCACCGTATTGTGGTTATGGTCGGCTGAATCTCCAGATTAGGTTATTTCTTATAGGTTCATTCAAAGTTATTAGGTTACACTATTCAAAAGAAAATGCGGAGGATTTGACAAATCAGAGCATTAAGAGTAAAAAAGATAAAATAGGTCAGATAATCCCTTGAATGTTGAAATGAAACACTATAATTACATGCTTCCAGGAATAAGAACCTGGAAACCATTACAACCACCACCCAACTATAGTTGTGAGAACGATCAGAGTATTGAACAGGCCTTAGTTGGCAAACAGCTTATAGCAGAGATCATTTTCATTGTAAAACCTATGGTACACTTGGCATCAATGGCATGTTTTGGAACTAGAGCTTGGAAACCATACTTCATAGCACTTGCTATCGATTTGAGCAGGTAATGTCAGTGTTTATTTAAAGGGTATATTTCATAGAGCTAGTATCTAGAGAGGCACTATTGGTTAAACAGGAAGAGTACACTCATTTGTATCATATTTTTTTATACCGAAGCAGCCGCGCTGAAGTTTGACACTCGACAGCCAACTATCAGTTGAGAAAGACGCACCAGATCGGTGCAAGATCAACTGTAAGTACATCGCATTGCAGGAGCTGGTTTACTCAGTAGTCCAAGAGACCAAGAGATGGCTTGTGGAGTAGTACAGTGATGGTTCTACAAGGTTGGCAAAAAAGTTCAAAGGTGGTCTAAATGCTAGGCTTCGCCTCCCCGTCACTAATACTAGTAGTTCCTTTATGCATCTTATCTATATACAGTATACTAACCTGCAAAATGTAATTCTTGAGGATTTATTGGTATCCACTGCAGATCATTTACAGTTCATCATCAGGATATAAAACACCATGTTTATAGAACTCCATGATCTTCTGCCCAAAATGAAACCACATATTATGTATTAATTACTTTTGTCTGACGTTTCGGCCACATTTATGTACTTTGAAAAATTCCAGTGCTTATGTCAGTAAAAATTAATTAATACATAATGTGGTTTCATTTGTCAAGAATATCATAGATTTCTATCAACATGAAAACCACAAGATGACTTTCAGGTATTATATTACACCATGCTTATTTGCAATAATACACACTAAAATAACGATGGAAATAGTGCATAAATAAGAAATAATGGTTATCCAGTGAGAAAGTTCACTTTTTGATTTAAAAAAAATACAAACTCAATGAAAAGAAAATATTTATTACTATCAACATACTCATAAATTCGGTTGGTTTTATTTCTTAAAGTATCATTCCATCCAAATGTTTGCCTTCCCTTCGGACACACTCTTCTAATCGCGTGCACAAATTCTGAAACACTCTCTTGGAGAGTTCCGGAGTGATGTTGTTTATTTCTCGTCGAATGTTGTCTTTAAGCTCCTCCAGTGTTCGTGGATTATTAAATACACTTTTGACTTTAGATAACACCACAAAAAATAATCGCATTACGTGTGGTCGGGTGACCTAGGAGGCCAGTGAATGTCTACAAACCTCGATATAAGTTTTTGAGGAAAAAGTGCTTTCATCATGTCCATTGATTCTCTGGAAGTATGGGCAGTGGCCCCATCCTGTTGAAACCATGTATTTCTGTTGAATCGACGTTCTGTTCTTACAATAGTAGCAAAAAAGTGTCAATGATATCCTTCCGTATTCATCTTCAAAGCAATACGGCCCAGTAATACCGCTACAGGATATGGCGCACCAAACAGTCACCTTTGGACTATGTAGCTGTTGTTGATGTCTCTCTCTTGGGTTCGTCGGTGCCCAATATGGGCAATTTTGCTTGTTCACATAACCGTCTAAGTGAAAATGGACCTCGTCACTGAAAACAACGTTCTCAAGTCTGCGCTGCGTAGGAAAAAGATTCAACATCCGTTCAGCACAAAGTTTCCGTATTACATAATCACTTACCTTTAAAGCATGAGCATGGACTGATTGGATCTTATAAGGATGATACCCATTTTTTTTTCATTATGTCATGCAGTGTTGACCTAGGGATTCCCAAAGCAGCGGAATGTTACGTACAGAACGCCGAGGATTTGCAATGACCGAATCACTTACTCGACACACATTTTTTTCGGTTGATACAGTAGGTGTGGGGCCAGGAATGGGTTGACTAAGAGTAGAGCCTGTTTCACGGAACCTCTCAATCCACTTTTCCAATAGGTTCTTACTTGGGGCATCTCTTGGTCGGCGACTGTTGTATTTTGTAAAAAATTTCCGAAGGGCAGCTGCGTATGAATCACCACTCTTAAAGTAAGCCTCGAAGACAAAAGCACGTTGCGCTCCGGTCCAACGTTACATTGTGACTATTTAACCCGCACGCCGAACGCGTCGATCAAGACCTCTCCCCACATCGCGTATACGGTTGCCGCGTAATTCAAATTTGAAATGTGAACTTTCCCACTGGACACCCTGTATTTCCAGATAAACCTGGCTGATTTGTGTAAAACGTAAGCACATGCCTGGCCCCATGGTCATTGACGTTCATCGCCTCCAATTTCCTTTAGGCTCTTCCCAGCACCCACAAGGCCATTATCGCCCACTTTGAGAAGGATTGCCCTAGACATTCTATAATACCAGAATATTTTTTTAACGTTCATGCTTTTTCCAGCTTGCAGTTATACAAATCCTGCAAAAGAAACAGCTTGTCAACATTAACTCAGCAGCAAAGATTGCAGCTATCAAAAAGGACACTGCTTCTAGTGATGTACTTGGTGAGATCTCCGATGTATGAAAAATACAGCAAAGACAAAATCAATGGTCTACTGTTAGGTTTAAGCAAGTATGTACCACTAGCGAGGTTGATATGTGACCCATTGAGTCAGTATATGCCCTACTGGCAGAGTATGTATTTCCATATGTGGTCAAAATAAGGTTTATGGAATTTGTGATCTTTATTAAAGGTGTGGTGATATTGGGTATTGATTTCATTGATTAAGATGTATTTAAGGGGACTACTTTTAAAATAAGGACCGTCGCCATTACGTTTTAGGTCTCTGTCGGGTCGGTTGTGTGGGTATACGCTTTGTTTATTGCCATGGCAAACAGCTAACCCTCCGATTGTGAAGAGCGTTCAGATATTCGTTTTATAAACGCAAAAAAGTTCATCCTGCTAAAAGTCACCAGCAGCTTGGTGAATTAAGAGCGGAGCCTGCTCTCTAGCGGCGTTTTTCTGCTTTACAACAACGTTCAGAATCACGGCAGGAGCTTAAACGCAACTGGATCATCGACCATACAGCCCTAACTTGGCACCATCAGACTAATATTTTGTTTCCAAACATCAAGGAATTTTTGTTGGAAAGTGCTTGGAAAATGATGACATGTTGAAAGAAATAGTTTCCAACTGGTTCAATGGTCAAGCGGCAGCGTTCTTTGATGACGGGATCCAAAAGCTGGTATCCCGTCTTAACAAATGTTTGTTTATGGTGACTATGTTGAAAAATAAAAAAGTGTATGTCCATCACAAAACGGTTTTTACTTAAAGAATGGCCCTTATACGAGTATAAATATGATAGTTGTTAATATGGGGTCGCAGAATTTTGCTAAACCTCGAGATATCTGAGACCAGTAAAACATCAAGGTTTTATTCTGCAGTTTCATATTTCTGATTTCTTTGATATTCTCACTATCTTCATTTTAACAACCTCCCTAATGAATATTTAGTTATGTATATAAATGGATTATTCTTCAGTATTTTTGTAACTGAAACTGGGCTACTTGAAATTTCTAAAAAGTAGTTATTTTCATCATATGATTTAGTAGAAATTCTAAAAATACTTTTTTTGACATACCTTTGAATTAATTAAATACTCTATTATTTAAAAAAATATATGTTAAATACTTGAAACAGTTGACATGACACGCTGTATTTTGGGTCAAAGATATGTCAAATCTATAATCATATTACATATTTATAGTTTATGTGTATAGTTCTTGAGTTTTTATTTTATTATCGAAATATTATTTCTGTACTTTGAATGAATAGATTTTTGCTATTTGATTGAGTTTACATTATAGTCGCGATAAAGTGTAGACGATCTTCTATTTTTGAATTATCAAGCAGTACAATCCAAGCATGTGCAGAGTAATTTTACATTGCTGTCACTACATCTGAATCAAATATTCTCAGGCTTCTTCCGCTAACCATACAGCTTAAAAGATAATTTTATGCCATTGTTTAACATTTTCTACCTGAAGGTAGCCAACTTATACTATATTCCCTCGTCCGAAATTTTATTCGAGATGAAATCACATACCGTAGCGTTATTTATGAGAACTTGCCACAGCTATGTTTATCCTCTCAGCAATAATTAGTAATGTACTTTGAAAAGGTTAGTGTTCGTAGATGTCGCTGTAGCTAGATGCTCATATATAGAATATATAGTTGGAAAACAGCGCCATCTGCGATTTCCAAAGTGGATTCTTAATTATTGTGGAAAGGAGAAAGAAAGATGTGACAAATTCTCTCTCTTTTTTAATGACTTGTGTCTGGCACAAATCTGTTTCCAATTTGCACAGGAAATTAATTGACAGTCTTTATTATATTATAACTATATTTCTGAAAAAAAACATACTATATAATATGTAAGAAAAATATATGTGTTTGGTATATACAATATATAAATCACAGATAATCATTTGGTGTATACAAAGACAAGGTACAACAGAATGCATTAAAAATTACTCAGACTTAATTAATTGTTTATGTATCAACACTAACATTCAAGGAAATACATTAATTAAAAAATGCAACAGAACGTTGAGATTTTTTATAGAGTATTAATAAAACTTTCTTTTATTATAGCAACATCCAAGAGTGGCGTAGCTTATCGACAAATCAATGTTCGTGTTTTTGTTGCACAACAGAATTAAATGCATAATGATATGGTTTCCATGTTTATAATATAGTATTGACAAATCTAACACTAAAATCGATATCACTACATATTAACATATATGTATAACAAGAAGACTAACTATTTAGTTAACATTTAGATATTTTCGAAAGACTTGACTTGCCATGCATATTATATTAATTTGCAAGGTACTTGCGAAATAACATCAAGTTTAACAGGAAGACTACTGTTCAAATTCTTCACTTCAAAAGCAAATATTTATCATGGTTATTATACAGGGTGTCCCATTTTAAGCCCCCCACCTGAACATTTCGAAAGTTGTAGGGTTGCATGGTGCTTGGCCATGAACATCAGCACTCAGTTTGAGGTCAAGCTAATACTTTTAAATGTGGCTTTTTTTACACTGGTATTGGAAATATGAGGAAATGCTATGTCCGAATATGTCATTCAATGAAATTTCAAGCTCAAGAAAAGACAATGAAAACAATTCGCTCTAGCAATGTTCGACGGCACCTTCAAGGTCAACCCAAAATGTTCAAGGGGAACCCCTGATTTTATCCTGGAATTGGAAAAACAGGAAAGGTTGTATCAATCTTAAATGTATTTGGTAAGGCAAATCCTTGATTTTTATATCAAAGTTGAAAGTGATGTTCAAGGTTACGGTCAAGGTCAGCTTTGGTTGACCCCCACAGCTCACTGTGCTACAAAAATTTTTGCTAGAGCAAACTATTTTCAATGTCTTTATTTCACCTTGAATGTTATGGTGATAGTCATAGTCAAGGCCACATTCGAACGTGAACTTTTCTCCTCTTTTCCAATTCCGTTTGGAAATATTCGCTTAACTTTGAAATGACCTTGAACGGTAACCATCATTTTGCTTACTTAAAACCCTACAACTTTAGTTTGAAACATTTATCCTAAATGTGTGGTTATCGAAATATTTAGGTGGGGAGATTAAAATGGAATACCTTGTATGGCTATCATTAAAACATAAGAAAACCTAACTACCCCCCTAGCCATATCTGAAACTATAAACAATATTTGTACTTTAAATATCTACAGGTCTGAGTCGAAATAATTCTCCACGTACACTTTTTCATCATCATCTTTGCATATTTGGCTATCTATTTGAGCTACATTACATGATATAGATACACAAATCATTACCTTTCAAATACCCATAACCAATTTCTACATCCTACTACACTATACTCTATTTCACGAGTATCCATCATGGTAGAATGATAGCTGATTATCCAGTAATATTTCAAAATTCGCCATATCAGCAAAGGACACATAATTCAGACGGATCCGTCAATGACAGGTAGACAGGGCCACATTTTGTTTTGTTTTTTGTACGCTACAGATTCATTTTGTACTTGCTAACAGCTCTTTTATTTAGAAAGGTTCATTTGCATACAAAAAGCAAAACGCCACAAACAAGTTTTACGAAATTTATACCCATCAACAATCATTGCCAACGTTACAGACTAACATAAAAATGTCACTTGCTGATCAGCTGTTCACCTCAGTAGACGTCAGTGATGGATACTCGTCAAATAGGGTTTACAAAGGTACTTGAATCGTACGTATACTAGAGTTTGTTTTAGTACACATCTAATAATATAGAAAGGGATAGATTTTTGGCTTACAATTTGAGCTACACAATAATGTGATATAGGAATCTACATCTTTAGTTTGCTTTCAACTTTTTCTTAGCTTCATTCATCGCAGCTGTGGCATCTACAACACTGACAGCTATCCCAACTTGAGCTGCATAATAAGTTGACATTACCAGTATCTGTAAAGAACAATAATTAGTACTTCCATATCATATATAGTCAGCTTACTGCAAAACAAAATAGTTGAGTGCATTTCCAAATTCATACCTGTTACGGATAAAACTGTTTAGTTTATATTTTCGTATATTTCAATTTTGTATTTGAATCAAATTTTCACGTCACACAGCGGTCTAGAACATCGGAAAGCGGTTAAAAATTCAATGTCTATGTAGGGCTTTTGGGTCGCCTATTTCCAAAGGCTAGTTTGCCTCTATGAGAGCATTTGAAGGTCACTTCAAGGTCATATCAAGGAGCTTTAAGTCGAGCTGTTAATCCCAAACGCATGTCATTTATATTTTTCTGGGTACTAAGTCCGAATCAGAGATCAGTTAGTCACTATAAGCACATCTGAAAGTTATTTCACGGTCACTTCAGCACAAATTCAAAATAAATCTAGCTTTATGGTCCAAACGCGTGGCATATAGGTTTTCGGGGTCGTTGAGTCTAGAGATCAGATAGGCTCTGGGAGGGCATTTGAAGGGTATTTTGGGGCCACTCAAAGGACGAATTCGAAAAAGTTTAATAACCATAATATGGCAGTATATACTGTTAAATTTTTCAATAGTTTGCAAAATTTAGCAAAAACCAACATTAGATTTTATCTGGCAGTACTTCAAAGTTCACGAAATTTATTCCAATTATGGCAAAGGGTGGACCCTTATTAAAAACCTTTCTGAATAATAATAAAATGAAGAAGCAAAGCTAAAATAGTAAGCCGTTCAATTTAAGGAATGCATAAAAACTACAATAAGGACAGAATTCTGTCACATCAAATGAAGATTCGTAGTGGTAGAGATGTATGATTCACCAAAAACTTCAAGTTTAAAAGTCTGCCAAGGTAGTGTAAGTAATTTTCAGTACTTTGTCTTTCCAGTTTTTGTCAGGTTTTCGCATATAGACCGCTGTGCGTCACACTTTTCGGCACGATTTATAGTGTTGTCAAACATGTAAATAACTCCGTTTTGGGGGTTATTTGGTTTTTGCTATAACCCGACAATATATTTGTAGTACTTACGTTATTCAAAATTTGTTGTGAAATATGGCAAATATGCTGAAGATTTAGAATCTTACATTGGCAATACTGGTACTTTACCTAGCTATAGACTAGGGGGGTAGACATTTTCGAATATTTACAACAAACATTTAAATATCGAAATGAATGTTAGAAAGTTACACATCCTTGAGTAGCATTTATTTTATAACAATTATTTGTATCAAACGAGAATTAATTTCACTCAAAAATAAGTTTAAATTGGTTAATCCCGTGACACACAATTTTGATGGATCCGTCAACGCCAAGTGAACAGCCGTATTTTGTTGTGGTTTTTTGTAAGCTACGGATTCATTTTGTACTTGCTAGCAACTCTTTTATTTAGAAAAGTTCCGTCCCATAAAAAAATGCTACATGCAAAATGGCTTAATGATCATTACTACATTTGAAGTCAGGCAGAAATAAAATAAGATAAACAGTTTTTGACAATGTTAATGATCTCTACTTTTTAGAACCATCCGATTTTAAGTGCCAATCAATTCAAAATGTGTGGCAGTATATGACCGAATTTATAGAGGTTCGATTCCCTGAACTGGGTCTGAACATTACTCGAGTAATTCTAACAAGTTGGAAATTATTAAAATGTAAGTGAAATGTACAACTATCGCGAGAAGACATGAAATGTACTCAACTAGGACAATACAGTGTTCATAAACATGGGCCAAGTGTTGAGAACACTGCAAAAATCCAGAGAAAATGAAAACGTCGCGTGGAAGCTGATCTCGCTTGTGGAAGGAAAATAACATCTTAACCTATATTTGTATTACATCACACTGATGATGGAGAATTAACTAGACAGACGTGTCTATATTATTTTTACATGAAAAATTACAGCTGCTGGAAAGGACAACGCAATCTGTTCTATTGACTTACCTCCTAATCAATAGATCCCAAATGTACTATAATAATTTTCTAATAAACATTTTCCTAAATGTACTTCGTATATTGTCGAAATTCCCAGTATGTAGATATGTGAACAACAGATCTGAATACGGGCCTCAGTTTTACCAGATTTACACCTGATTCATTATTGCCAAAGTTACAGACTAATGCAAACATGTCACTTGCAACTATTAACTGTTCACCCGAGTACACGTTAAAATGCTATGGATACTCGTGAAATAGGCTGTACTCACTTGTGCGTATTCAATATTAAACTTGAACCTGTCTATACCAATGAGTAAGTCGGATAATGCGAATAATATACTTCCTGCACAGGTACACAGCTTGCTCCATGTCCAGAGGTCCTGGAAAGAGAGAAAGCGTTATCAAAAAATACTTTTTTTTATACCAAAGCCTAAATACCGACACAGCGGCTGCTATGATCCCAAAGAAATTTTGTTAATCCGATTTTACCTAAGGTTAGTAGAACTGGAAAAAGCTTCCTCTTGTGGATTGTTCCACAATCTCGACACCCTCAGGACTAAGGAGCGGTCGTATCGGCCAGTTCTGGATGTACGAAGTGCGACACGGTTAGGATGGGAGGCCAAAGTCAGGCGGGTCTGTCTGGCAGGCACATCGCGGGGCGGCATCATGGAAGAGAACTCTGAGGAGCAAAGCCCGTTGGTGTAGCGGTAGAAGAGAGCTAGATCGCCGACATTATTCAACTCAACTTAGTTTCATAAAACACGGAACATTTCCTAAATACCTGCTCAAAAGAAAAAACATTCGACGCATCTGGTGACTAAAGGAGAATATATGTCCAACAGCATTCAAGCAGAAAATGCTGAACATTTTACTTCCCAAGCCTACTTGCGAGGAAGTATTGTAATCGCAAAAATTTTGAAAATGACATATGTTTTGTGGATGATACATGACCTGATACATCGCGAAAAACCATGTCACTCATTTCCGTCAGCCTATCCAGAAATCCTTGACCAGTGTAGTAAATTTTTACGCAAGGTTATTACCACGCCAAGGACGAAAAAGCTTTGTAGTTTTAGGAAATCGAGCCAGTAGCGGCGGAGAAAAATGCCAAAAAGAGAAAGATGGAAATCGCTCAAACCTTTTTTTGACGTTCAGTGGGTCCAGATCGTTTATGAAAAATTTTGTAAAGGTGAAAAATTGGGGGTGTGGGTTGGAGGAGGGTGTATCGCGATTTTTTGATGTTAGCATTTTATTACACTTCCAACCCCGGCTATGCTACGCTCCTATTAGACATACTTTACACATATCATAGATTTCCCCGTTCATTTGCCTTTGAAACTTGGAATATTTTCAGCAGACAGGTTGCGTAGCTCTCGTTCGCACTTGCCGTGCACCACGGGGTTGTACATTCGAGGGACTTAAATGAAGCTGGCGATGGCCCGCGGTGACACAATTTTCTCATATGAGGTGGGCGCAATACCTATATATACCAGCATCATGCTTAAAGTGTAATTTGATTTCGTAAGGAAATATTATATAGTATAGTATATACAGGTTGTGTATCCAATGATTACTTGGTGAGTGGTCTAAAAAGCGAGAAAAGCGGCAACGCGCGATATCGAGCATGCTGCTGCAGTACGGTCGGCACCAGCGGTCGAGTGTGGGAGCGTCACCTGGGAAGGAGACAGCGTTGCCGTTCTTTAGCCTAATGCGTAATCTTTCGTAACACAACATACTATACATAATATACCGGGTGTTTCAAATTAGACTCACACCATTGGGATCTCGAAAACAGTAACACATACGAAATTGCTTGAATGAGGGCAAAGTTGCGTATTTAGGTAGGTAACAAAATTCCGCTTACAAAGTTTGAAAATTCAAAATACCTCAGGAGAGAGATGGAAAAAACCGAACTTTCCCAAAATCATTTTAATTTTTTAATGATTATTTGTAGTGGGATTTCAAAATAAATTGCGCATTAACAACGTCACTTTTTCTCCTTTACAAGATGGCATAACTAGAATTTCAATATGACGTTAAGGCCTCTTGTCCTCCAGCATCAACTTTATTTTTTCTTATGGATGTTGGATTTTTGTACAGGTAAGTTCAGTTTTTAATCCAGAAGTATAGTTTTAATCTACTTGACGCCATTTTTTCCATGACATATGTATATACCACTTGAATCGTTATGCGAATTATCCAAAGTTAAATGCACCAAAATCGAACGTAAATTCGTACGAACCTTCATAACATTTTCGCAAGTTCAATACAATTTTCGCGTCCCAGATCCAAAATTACATTTTTAATTTTCATATTTACGAATGGTAAAAATGACACGTTCCCCCTGTATTATAATTTTGTTAATAATGAAACGTGAATCACACAGATTTGAATTTGTTTATACATACCTCAAATAACTGTACTCTTGCAACTGCTCTCCATAGCATGGTAGTTATAACCAATATATAAACTGGAACACCAACGAGGAAAATTCCAGGCAGGTCAGGAAGCAAGTATAGAACAACTACAAATAAAATGAAATGCTATATTCAAGAATTATTAAATTTACTCATCGTTATTTTAATATTGATTTAAATTCTCATCCTCACAGCCATGTGATTGTCAGGTAGAATCGCAGTAATTCCCTTAGACATAATAGAAACACTTCATAAAAATATAAAAATGTTTTACTCTTAAACATGACAGGGACAGCTACACGGCGCAGTGCCATGTGGGGCAAAATTCTCAATCAAGGGTGGGGGGTCGTGACCGACCAGCTAACCGCCCCTCCCTCCTCTTCAATTATTAAAAAAGCATTAGCATTGATGTAGCCGAGCCAAACCCCAAGCTCTTCAGTATATTAGAAAGGCGTTAGCTCTTAGCTAACCAAATTTTCATTCATTTTCACTCAAATTCTGGATCGATCCTCGTTCTCGATTAATGTTGCAAAGGGCGCATATTTCATCATTTGCCTCAGGAAGCAAAAAATTCCGAAGCCGGCCCTGTTGCCAACAACCTGCCTCATAACTATTCCATAGATATCGTATTCTTAGAATATCTCAAGGATGGACAAAATTCCTCAATATACTGCAACGTTGGCACATAAAATGGTGGCCGATACCTATATACGTATAAGAATAAGTGGTTGTAGGTACATATGCGAGAGCAAAAACAGCAAGCTGTCTGTTGGAAATGCATCCCAATTCACATTTTACAGCCAGATCACCAGTGTGGATGAATGCCGCCGATGCCACCACTGCACAAACTAGTAATGTAATGAATTGGATGGGAGGTCGAAGTCAGGCAGTCCTGGCTGGCAGGTTGATCACGCGGGGGCACGATGGCGGAGAGCCCTGAAAAGCATGTCATAGCGGTAGAAGAGAGAGAACAGCCACCGATCAGACTAATAGCCCTCCTCTGAAAAGCATTGTGGTATTGGATATCTTCTGCTGGAATTAAACAATGGTTTAATCAACTTACCTAGTAAACCCAGTAGATACAAAACCAGGCCCAAAGGTAAATTGAGCGGTTTGAAACCGAACGCAAGTATGTAGTAGACATGGCCTATAATAAATGCAAACATGCCAATGTCAAAATACTGATTCCAGACTAAAAGTGCATCTCCAATGCAACAGAAAATAAGACCTGACAATATTCGTCTCGAATATTTGTACCTAAAAAATAAAAATGAACAATTGTACAAAAACTAGAACAATTCCAAAATTATGAATATTGCTTGATTCATAAATCGACTAAAAAAGTTTTGAGAGTCAAGGCGTATTTACAGAGATATGCAAGTGAAATCGAAGGTCCTCAATGAACATTTATTTTTAGGAATAAAAGATAATCTGATTTTGTAATTTGCATTTCTACGATTTGTCCAATTCCAAACGTCATAAAATATAAGAAAAATTTTTCGTAGTTGGCATTGATAATGACAAATCATATATCTTTGGTTTTCACCAAATGGTCGACCACCAACTATAATTTTCAACACACTTGACAAGGAACGTTTTAGGAGATGGTTTGATGAAAAACATTTGCGTTGATACATTATCGTCGCCAACTAAGAAAATATAGTCTTCTCGAAATATCAGTAATACGATGTTGAAATTAATACTAAAAAGTACAAAAATTATATTTTCTGTGCAAAACTGATGCATGTTTCCTATGATCAAACGAAAATTCAGATGAAGACTTAATTATGTGCCGTCTCCTGAAAAAAAAAATGTAAGCGTTCTAGGGATAGAAAAACTAACATTCTTTTTTATTCCTGCGTTTAACAGCTATCCCTATTCAAAACTTGAAATTTTATCCGATATAAGTAACGAATACCGGTATTTGTTCCGAAAAGAATATAGAATATGTTCGTGAGCATCGACACAGATCATCAAAAAGCTGTGAAGCAATGAAAACTATTTAAAATATGTACTTACTCTTCTCCTAAACTCATTCCATGAAGTAAAACAAACAACATCAGGCTTAAAATAGGCAAACATTTTAAAATTGTACTAAAAACTGAGGGTTTGTCTTGAGGTACGAATATCACAAAATAAATGGCTACTGTTTTAAAGAACGGTACTAGTTTGGGTCCTACATTCTTTACCTGGAAAAACAAACATGTTTATCAATATTATCGTTGAATCACTTCTCATTGTTTGGTATTGAGTACAATAATGTTAAAAAAACTGTGAATAATCTAATATTGTGGAGAATCGTTTTTTCTTTTTTTGATTCATGTGCTGTTAGAAAGTTTTTGATTACTTTTTCAACATTCAAAATTATAAGATCAAGTAAAACTGGAATTTGCACAGCTTTTATTATTCCAAAGGTGGATACTGATGAAATGGAATATGTTCATTTTAATTATTTCACAAATTTATGAAAAATCACGTAAATTTTGTGCGAGTATTTAAGAATTACATCTAAACGCATGAGACTATAGAAGTGAGATGCGAGCTGCTTTGACTCCACAAAATTAAATTATTTTAATCCCTATAGATAATAATTTCTACAGCAAATCTGGAGATGTTGAATAGACTGAACATATATTGAATGAATATAATTATCACCAGCATTCAATAATTAATTCTTTCTATCTAAACTCTGATACTTCATTGCGATTTCATAAATTTTTGCACCTGTCAGACAACCATCGAAAACATTTATTGGACAACTAAATTAGCTGGATGAGCTGCTGCAAGAGGAACGATTAGGCTGCTGTTCGGAGTTCACGTCACGCAACGACCGACGAACATGGCAACGTCGCGAACGCGCGAAAGTCGGTAAATCTGATATTTTCTGCTGTTGACGTCCACTATGAATGGTGATTCAAATCTAACCTATGAATATATATATATATATATATACGTGAGCAGTAGTCATTGCCAAAGCCAACGACCAGTTGGGCACAAAATACAATTAATTGTTAATTGGGAAATTGGCAAATTTTTAGGCTTAAGTTGACTCTTTTGACGATAAAATCAAGCTTTCGGCATTCTCTATGGAGCCTTCATCAGGACTTCGTCGTTGAGGGTGCAGCCACAAGGTGTTTCAAAACGAACGTAGAGAATATTATATATATATATATATATATATATATATAATTGGGAAATTGGAAAACTTATGCGGTGGTAGGATGCTGTTCTTCCTGCATTTTATTAAGAAAATTCGTCTGTTTATCTCATGTGCCAAGCGTTTTCTATACTTGATCCAGTCCTTCAGCAAAGTAACTGAGAGTGTCATCCCATATCGTTCCTCGATGTGTTTTGAAAGAATCCTAAATCTGAGGATATTATGCGAGTCAATTAATTGTATTTCTTGCCCAACTGGTCGTTGGCGATGGGAATGACTACTGCCCGTATACGTATATATACCAAAAACGTACAAGCAGGCATGTGCATGTATATGATTTATTAGGAAAATCTAGAAACTGTAATGCTGCTGACAATAAAAAAATATTTATTTTTATTTATTGACAATAAAACGGCTCTATTCTATAATAAATATCTCAATAATGTATACCTAGCATAACATTTAAACCAGTTAATCAGGTTAGAGAAGTGACATAACATTTGTGTTGTGCTCATATCATATCAACAAATATATTTACTATAATATAAAAAATTGAAAACATTTTAATTAACAAATTATATCAATATAACATGAAAGTTTAATTATGGTTCATTAGTAACTAATTATCAAAAATGTATTGTTTTATGGATTTTGCAAATTTCTTGCAGTATATCTGATTTCAATCGGAAATATAAATTTTCGGTAAATTGTAGTTCCCCAATTGGTGAGCTATATATCTATATATATATATATATATATATATATATATATCCCTATTATATCTTGGTGTTGTTATAAGTTCGTTAGACCTACTACAAGTATTATATACAAATGTAACAATTTTTAAAAGCATAGAAGCCATAAACTTTTTGAATATAAATTGAATGCAGGTTGCAGATATCTTTTGTATACAATAAATTCAATATGTAATTTTGAGTAAGATAGTAACATTCAATTTTTGTAAAGACTTTTTACACGTCCCTCCCCAAAATATAATTACATAACAAAATAAAAACTCGACTGTACGAGGGCGGTTCAATAAGTACCCGTGTTAGAAATGAAGACACAATTTTTTCCAAAAAATTTCTTTTTATTTTTCAACATCCCCTTTTAGAAAGATACACTTTTCCCAACGCTCCTGCCGTTTTTAACCCTCCCAAAAAATAGGATTTGTCGAACTCTCCAAAATACGCCTGTCTCGGCGATGATTTCCTCGTTTGAGCTAAATGTTTTCCCCGCGAGCCGTTTCTTCAGGAAACGAGAAAAAGTCGCAAGGGGCCAGATCGGGAGAATACGGGGGGGTGCGGTAGCACTTCATAACGCAATCCATGCAGTTTGGCGGCGACAACTCCGGATGAATGTGCTGGTGGGTTATCGTCAAATGTGGCCATGTCTGCTTCAATTTTTTGTCAAAGCGGTCCAATAACTCACTATAGTATTGTCCAGTGATCGTTCTTCCTTTTTCTAAAAAATACACGCGGTTCGCATCCCAAAAAATCGTCGCAATGGCCGTTCCGGCCGATGGGACCGTCTTCGCCTTCATTGGAGCAGATTCACCAGAAGAAATTCATTGTTTTGATTGTAGCCTAGTTTCTGGTATGTAATGATGAATCCAGGTTTCATCGACCGTGACAACTCGACGCAAAAATTCCTTCGGATTTCGCTTAAATTGTGTGCTTCGAAGTTAACAGCCACATCCGCTTGTTGTCCACCGTGAGCAATCGCGGCACCCATAGGGCCGTCAATTTTTGCATAGCCAACTTATCTTGTAAAATATTGATGGCCGTTCCGGTCGGCACACCTATGGCCTCTGCTACTTCGCGCACTATCGTTTGTCGATCAGCGAGAATCATATGTCGTGGACTTTTTGAATGATTTCATCGGTAACCACGTCTGACAGCCGTCCTGGTCGATCCTCATCAAAAACGGATGTTCGCCCACGTTTAAATTCGTTTTACCAATATCTAACTGTGGTCTTAGATGGCGAAGTGTCCCCATAAACAGCATCCAACTTTGCTTTTATCTCCTCGCATTTTTTCCCATCCACAAACAAAAAGCGAATTACCGAACGATACTGCTCTTTTTCCATCTTAGCGAAAATCACGAAACACGTGTTACTCGAGTGGCTGCCAAATCCAAACTAACCTATCAATCAGTTTGAAATTGTTGTGCCGTCCTTTGATAGATGGCAGTACACGATGATAACATTAACTTCCCGCAGGAACGCCCTCTCTCGTCAAACACCCGTACTTATTGAACCGCCCTCGTATATAAACAGGTTTTTTTTTCGACTGGAGTTGTCCATAGGTTGAAGATGGTCATATCAAAGTAATCGCTTGGGTTCAATTGTATCTATGATGTAGTCTTTGTTCATAATTTCTTTAATCCTTCTGGAATACTCTAACCTAAATACGACAACCGCTTCTCCAGTAATCCATTTCTAGAGACATCAACTTATTCTTATTTCTTTCAGTCATCTCCCATATTTCTAAGCCATAAGTACTTTCCACTATCGCTTGATAAACATATATATTTTTTGTGTTATGTTTTGTCACTATGGAACTCCATTAGGCAGAGTTAAATTGTCTAATTGCTGTTGTCCCTGGTGCTATTTTATTTAAAATATCTTCGTTGCAGTTTCCATTAACAGTAAATGTTACTCCCAGATATTTAAAATACCTAGTTTGAATTCCCATAATTTGCATAATGGGATAGTGTCATATGCCTTTTGTAAGCCAATAAATGTATGTTAAGATGGACGATCTGCCTCCTTCTACTTTCTTATCTATCAAATTCTTCAAAGTGAAGATTTAATCAATACACGTTCGTCCAGTCCGAAAACGTAAACATGAGGTCGTCTGACTGAAGCTACAAATATTCCTGCAGGCTCTTGTTGGTGGCTTCTAGTTGTATTTTCCTTTCCATCGTTTTCCTTCAGATTACTCCCGTATCCAGATGTGATGGGCATAAGGTTTCCCTTCAGTGTGTTCGATGCACATTCATTTGGGCCTAATGAAGTCAATAAGCAGAACGTACGTCGCTCGTATCTATTTTTGCCCCTGTTCCTTTATTGGGGACATGCCCACGGCTGTCCTTTATTTTTCGTCTAGATTTCCGCAAGAGTACTTGTCTTTTATGGAATAAATAAATAAGGTATGTATGTATCAAGGTAAAATGAATTTATTCCCTTTGACTGTTCCATATACATATATCCACACTGTTGTAAATAATGGAGAGGAATCAGTGTTGTTTGCAGTCGTTTATAGAGATGTTTCAGTTTCTAACTAGATAAATTGTTTAAGTACGCCTTTTTATATATGACCTTGACATACGATTTCAAATTATCACTAATTTTACATTTTGCTTTGTAGTGCATCCTACAATTATTTCATATTAGGATATGCAACTATAAATACTCATATCAGACTTAATCATATAACTGTGCACATATGAAACATGCAACTCGCAATTATTACGGTAATTGAAAAAGGGGATTGATACCAATCTGCAGAGATTAAATATACCTATGTACTGCTAATGAGTATGTATGATATGTGATGCGTTCATGTCGTTTCTGCAAAATTGACATATTTAGCCACATATTATACAGGGTGTTCATTTGAAAACTTCCCACCACGGATTTATCGAAAACCACTAATTGAAAAAAAACACCAAGATATGTCAAAAGATTTGTCAAGCAGGGCAACTTTTTACCAAAAACTACTTCACCCTCGGCCTCCCAGGGTCATTCCCTTAAGAATTTCAAATGACAAGGGGTATCAAGTAATAGCTTATTTGAAAGGTCTTTCGAAGTCCTTTATTTTGACGTTTGATTTTTTAAATCAGTCGATTCGTTTTCGAGATAATTAGAAAAATGTTTATTTAACTTAATTTGTTCAGATAGAAAACAAAAATACACGAAAATATCACTTTTTATTTCAATAAGTGTTCAAAATGTTGCCCGTTAGGGTATGCTAAATCTACAATTCGTTTATAATTTAAAACGGAGACTACCAACATAAACAGCAATTCGGAAGATTAGACGTGGCAACAACCAAATAACAACCCGATTTTTTTAAGGATTCTTTTCATCAACACAGATATTCTGGGCGAACTGTATATATTGTTATACCTGTTTAGTTATTTGTTGCTAAGGGAAAGAAGGAATTTAATTTGCTGTCAGTTACTTTTGTGACAATCTTGGGATAGTGAAAATTAGGTAATTTATTGATTCAGATTTCACTTCCAAAATGGTTTACACACTAGCCGAAAGTGTATGGAAATGATTATAATTTATGGTGCCCAAAATCAATGTGCTCGGAAACAGCCGTCACGTTTAACGCCAGACATCCGGGGAAGATAACTTCGCATAGGTATGTTTTGGACCTTGTTACTAAATTTACTCAAACTGGATTTGTTTCAAATAAAAAAACGTGATCATCGGAGAGTTTTGGATGAAGCCGCTCAAGTTGAAGTATTGGGTCATTTTGGAATAAATTCTAATCCTTCATTACGCAAAATTGTTGCTGCGACTGGTATTTCATTATCACACAGTTACTAAACTTCATAAATTTCATCAATTTTAAATAAAAATATTGCAAGAGTTAACCGAAGATGATTTCGATAGGCCAGTTGAGTTTTGTGAACAAATGATAATACCATTCATGTAAAGAATATCTGCTTCAGTGATGAATGCCCATTTTATCTAAATGAATTAGCACCTGCAGGTACTGGAACAATGAAACTCTTTTGTATAAGGGCATACCCAGTACCCTCAAAAAATGAATGCATGGGCAGGCATTTTATGAAACAAAGTGATTGGGCCATTGTTTATTGATGGGAATTTGAATGGAGACATTTATCCGTGAGACCATTGAAAGCCAAATCGAAGAGGATGGAAACCGTATACTTGATGAGGCTGAAATATATTTCCAGCAAGACAGCGTTCCTCCTCACTATGTTCTTCTGATTCGGCAATGGCTGGACGACGAGTTTCCAGATAAATAGGTAGGGCAAAGAGGTCCTATAGAATGGCCTGCTAGATCTCCTGATTTGACGCCATTAGACTTTTCTCTATGGGACCATTTGAAATCTATTGTGTTTACTCTCCAACCTGAAAGATTGGATGAACATGTTTTTCCGTCAGGAAATAAGGATTTTTCTAATTTTCTTGACAACGAATTGACCGATTTTAGATAATCAAACGTCAAAATAAAGGACTTCGAATGACCTTTTAAACAAGCTATTATTCGATATCTCGTGTCATTTAAAATTTTTAAGGGGATGGCCCTGGAGGCGGAGGGTGAAGTAGCTTTTGGTTAAAAAGTTGTCCCCCTTGACAAATCTTCTGACCTGTCTCGGCGTTTTGTCTTTTAATCAGTGGTTTTCGATAAATCCCTGGTGGGAAGTTTTCAAATGAACACCCTGTATGCTGGTCGTGTATACACTAGGTACATATTTTTTATCATCTAGGACATCTAGATTCTATTGACTACTTTTCCAAATAGCAATGAATAAACGTGTTGATCAAAGGTATTCCCTGAGTTTTCATTCCTCAGATAATAATGTACCTAGTCACCCAAAGTGACATTATTAAATTATGAAATTCGTACGAACATGTATAATATGTTAGTGTCAGTAAGAGTTACATTTTCAGCACAGTTTTATGAAAGGGAGGTCCACAATGACTAACCTAATTTGTTTTTCACAATTCATTTCTGAATCCCTGGATGACGGAGTGCTCACCGATGTCATTTATAGAGATATTAGTAAAGCATTCGTTAGATAATAATGTACCTAGTCACTCAAAGCGACATTATTTTATTATGAAATTCGTACGAATCCGATCTGCAATAATTTATGTTTTAGTATGCTCTCTTGCTTAACACAATCATTTTTAGACTTTCATCTTACGATTTTTCGCTCTACGTTGTTATCATTCAGAAGAAATTCAATTTAAACTATATATAAATAAATCAAATAAAAATTTGCCTTCTCTGCTATCTGCGTTTGACAACCACTCATTCATAAACACCCTTTACCGCCTTTTTTATTATCAAAATACACTAAACTAAACGAAACCACAAAATTAAAAGTCTATATAAAGTATAAGATATAATATAATTTGAAATAACTAAGAAAATCCATTGATCAATTATGGTGTTTACTTGTACTTCAACTTACCACTTTTAGAACTGATGCTAATTTTCCCATTCTCCTAATTTAAAAAAGGAACATACAGTTGTTGATAATCACAAAACAACGAACGAAAATGTAAACATACGTTAAAGAAAACGTCAAAATCAGCTGTAGAACTTTACAAAATGCCGAGCCGCGCCGTAGTGATACTTACAGATTTTATGGGGAGGAGTCGATGTCCAGTACCGGACTCAACCCAATGGTATCTTAGGAGATTTTCCTTGGAGAAACAGTAAAAATGTTGCTTGAAAATGAAGTAAAGTGGGTTGACTCGGTATTTTCGATAAATTCGGTTTTTCGTAACGGATCGCATCAGTTTTCACTAGACTTATAAGAATTTTTGCAGATTTTCCTTATTAGACGTGGAATTATATTTAGAAAGCGTGTAACTGTCTGGGAAACAGGACATAGGATGGGAGATCTCTATATTGAACAAAGATGATAACAAGTACAAAATGAAGGTAAAGGATTGTGACCAAATTTGGTTGAGGTATCTATTCTGGAATAGGTATCTAATTAATATTCTCCAAACAGGGGCGGATCTAGGAAATATTTTGGAGAAGGATTCGTCTGATAGATTTATGATCAGGATCCGCCACTGTCTCCAAACCGACTGTTGGGCCATAAGTACTTTTTTATGGTTTGTTATCGAACCTCAAGTACGCAACTGTTTTGCTTCGCTACCCAAGACAAACAATAAAATAGTGCCATTGAGGTGTGGAAGTACTATTTCCCCATTTTTTATTTATGAACAATGCAGATGCAGCATTAGTAGTCGAAGAGTGCATAACAGTCAACCAGTGTTCTGGACTTTGCTGGTTTTGCGCGGTGCCACCTTGATCATCCCGTCTGTCATTGGTGCCTGACGCTGAACTGTTCCAATAACGCCGTATCAATCACTATAGCCTCTTTTCTAAGTGTCTAGTTATAGATGAAGGCAACTACGAGCTGCTGTGAACCCGCATTCTTGCACTCTCTTGTGATCTTTACTATTCAGAAACATCTCAAATATACGTTGTGACTCCGAGTCATAACATTATCAGTTTTTTTTACCATCCCCTCCATTGCCTGATATTGGTTTAATGCTAGTTTAATGCAAAAAAACAATAACGATCAAAAAAACATAACCCAATAATCTTGACACATTGTCATTTTCGTTATCCCCACTATTTCGGAGCGTATAACACCGAATAAAAAGCTGGTGCATGAGGGGGCAGAGGATCTCAAAAATGAGTAGCTCAGGTGCATGACACTCTAGCTCTAGAGCTCTGGCACAGTATTGACAGGTGGTGGGTAGCTCCTAGTTTGCAAAGCACCTCAGGATTGACACTACGTAAATATATACTTCTCACTTATTTAGTGCTGTCAGTAATGAGCTCTGTGACAGATATATATAAAACATATTTCATCAGTCATTTTTAACTTTACTTTTGAGAAACGGCAGAAAACAGCCGGTACTGAAAACTTTCTCTTTGTATTATTGATGATCATTGTAACTGGTCAGTTTTGCCTTGAATGTTTCCTAAGCATTTATAAACTCAAATCTGTAATCAAATCCAAGCGAATAACCAAATGAAAATGGTATTTACCATTTTGGATTGGTATTTACCGATACGTTCAAGCGAGTGTGGTTATAAGTCGGTTACCTCATCAATCAGCTGTTATATGTCATGGTTATCACCGTAAAATTGTGGTATTTACCCAGCTCCAGAGTAGTTTTATATTTCTGGTTATTTGTTATGTGGCAAGTTAGAATTTTGGTGGATATTGGATATTTTTGTTGTACTTCAGCTTCATTTTTGGGAAATTTGATACAGACCGACTTCAGTTGTAGCATAAAGTAGAGCACCTTATTAGTTATACTCATTACTGTTGTTGGGGACACTCTTTGTGTAGTGCCATGTTTTGAACATTACCACAGTTTGAAAAAATTTTAGTGTTTTTATTTTTTGTTTTGTGAATATATTTTGTTTTTATGTAACTTCATAAATCCATTAGTTCTCATAAATAATAATAGAGTTGGAAATTTTTAATTAATTTAAACGATACCTACGCCACTGTGTAACCGAAAGACGCGGGACCTGCTAGCCCAAGCTGCGGGAGACGTACGTAGCCGATGAGCTTGGCGGCAGCCGCACACGGTAATACATTGCTAAAAACGTACTTCGCAGTGAAAGGGTTAAATCTAGTTTCGATTCTTAACAAAGTATCATGTGTAGCCATATACCTACCACAAGAATATTAAAATATTACCATATAAGCTCGCTGGATGATGTCCACCTATATGTGATTTTGATAATATCTTTTTCATCGCTTTTTCCTGTCATTTCTGCTAAATCAATAAATGTTTTATTTGACATGCGGAAATGTTTTGAGGAATTGAAAGTTGTCATAACTACAAAGCCATAGTAGCACCATTAAAATTTTGGGCGTCATATCTTTTATTTTCACGACAAACTTGTTTAAAAATGCCTAAACAAAATCGAGACTCGTCATTAAAGACAATACTGTTCCATTCCTGATCCCAGAGTGACCGTTGTCTGCACCACTCAAGGCGATTACGTCGGTGTAAGGGTTAGAAGGCGACGTGGTGAAAGGAGGAATCCACAGTTTTTTGTTGAAAGACATGTTCATCACACTGTTGGAGTTATGGTTTGGGGTGGTATAGCTTATGGTTCCAGGTCACCTTTAATCTTCATCAGAGGTAACATGAACGCGCAGAGTTATATCCACGAAGTTCTAGAACCCCATCTTTTACCCTATCTTGACACCCTGGCAGATCCAACTTTCCAACAAGATAATGCCCGACCACATGTTGCAAGAGTCACAATAGACTTCTTTCAACATAATGATGTCACATTGTTACCATGGCCACCAAGATCTCCCGACTTATCCCCAATTAAGCACGTGTGGGATATGATGGGTAGGAGATTGCTCAATTTGCAACGTCCTCCTCAGACTCTAGAAGCACTTCGAGAGGAGTTGGTGGTTGCCTGGAATGAGATACCACAGGAGTACATTGACCACCTGATCAAAAGCATGCCTAGGCGCGTTGGAGAATGCGTAGCACATCAGGGTGCATCCACACATTATTAAAGGTCAAAGGGCTTTAAAGCAGTGCAATCATTTTGAAATTTTTATCATTTACTTATTATGCTTCATTAAGTACTTATACAAAATTTTATTAAAATAAAACCATTTAAACTGGGTGTTCGGATTTATATGTCACTTAGTATATATTATAACCGCGGTACATAACACATAAATCAAATCCAAGCGAATAACCAAAATTTCTGTGTTATGTGCCGCGGTTATAATATGGTTCAAGATGACACACGGGTTGATGACGTCAGTTACACGAATCACTTGAACGCGTTGGTTTTAACCGCGGTTTTGTTGCAAGTTGTTTATGTTAGAAAAGCGCGTATATAATCTCTGATTATTTTTATTATCACTTAATAATCGGTGCTTTTTCGTCTACAACTGTATATGGAAAGTTTAAATAAGAAACCTTTCATAATATTCATGGGAGAAATGTGTTTTCAGATTTTTTTTTAATGATGGAACCATGGCTTTGTAGCTATGATAAATTTCAATTCTCTAAATTTTTCCGCATGTCAAAGAACACATTTATTGATTCAGCAGAAATGATGAAAAAAGAAATTAGCAAAACCGTATACAGGTGGATATCATCTAGTGAGTTTATATGGCCATATTTTAATATTCTTGTGTTATATGGCTACACAGGATACTTTGTTAAGCATAGGAACTACATTTAAAGTGTCCCCAACAACCGTAATGAGTATAACTAATAAGGTGCTCCACTTTATGGTAAAACTGAAGTCAGCCTGTATCATTTTTCTCAAAAATGCAGCTGAAGTACAATAACAATATCCAATACCCGGCAAAATTCTAACTTGTCATATTTCAAATAATAACCAGAAATATAAAACTACTCTTGAGTTGGGTAAATACCACAAGTTTGCGGCGATAACTATGACCTATAACAGCTGATTCGTGACGTCACGGATCTTATAACCAAACTGATAACTACACTCGCTTGAACGGATTGGTAAATACCAACCCAAAAAGGTAAATACCATTTCCATTTGGTTATCCGCTTGAATTTGATTATAAATTTTGGTTATTCGCTTGGATTTGATTTTTCTCACCAACAAACTGGGGTTTGTTCCTCCATCTCCTTCATCCAAGCTGATCAAATGAGGGCACTGTTAAACTTTTTTTTGATTCAACAGATTCCATAGAACTAGTTATACTAATTCACAAATGCAGATAGTAAGACACAACAGACAATTTTTTTTTTATTTTTAAAAACACAAACATAAAAATATATAATTCTGTACACCATACACTTTTGACTTGTTTTTAGATCACTGCACACAAGCCTGTTTATACTGTTGAATATAGCCAGGTCTTTTGAACCTCTAAAATAACAAAAAATTATCTTGTTAGATAATAGATTAAGTGCTGGTGAAAATTGTTTACCCTTTTAGATTTCGACGAGTTCGAGAGAGAAATGAAAGCGTGTTAGAAAGAGTGCACCATATAAGTGAGGACGATAGTGGGGAAGGAATTACAGCCACACTCAGCGCCCTGCCCCTCTCTCGTCTGTCGTTACCAAGCAATGTGGTGACGATGCTTATATGGCTCATTCTTCCTAACATGCTTCTTTCTCTTATACCTATGGAAATCTAAAATAGAAAACGACTTTGGCCAGCACTGTATATTAATTTATATTTACCCTCCATTGTTCCATAGTAATGTTTGAAATTATCTGAGCATTCACACCTCCTGTAGCTCGAAACTCTGTTAATGTTTGATTTTTCATAGATTTGATCAGTGGTTCACCTTTACTATCTGAAAAAAAAAACATTTGAATTAAGCTTAACAAATAAAATGGAGTCAAGTAACTTAACAGATTTAAATAAAGACTTCTGTCAGTTTTACTAGTTACCTGAAGCCATTTTTTTTAAACTAAATAATACTTACTTAAGTCAATATGTGCCAACCCATCTCTTATCAAGAATGCAAAATAGAACATATTCTCCAAAGTATTTGCAAAGCTATCGGTATCTATAATGTAATCATAATACTTTATTGGCTTCCCATTATTCTGACTGCATTTTGTGTTAAGTACATCATTCATCAACTTGACAATTTCTTGAATTCCTTCTTCTTCTTTTTCAACATTTTGAATTTTTTCTGGTTGTTTTTTCTGAGGTGCCTGCTTATTACGTTCCCTAGGTATAATCTCTCTTTGTTTTCTTGGTTTTGGTTGTGGAATTTGTTCCATGCTGTAGGAACCATAAACATAATTAAAAGCAGGAAACTGAGGTATGATAGTCCTAGCGTCATCTATAAGCATCAAGATATCAGTCTCCTGGATTTCATAACTATTCTCACCTTTGATGAAAGTTTGCTAAAAAACAAAATGACATAAGTCATAACAAAGTAGATGTACTTTAAAGTATCTCTAGAAAGACAAGCTAGAGCTTGATAGTTGTATTTTATTTACATTAAAAAGTTAATTGTGAAATTCAATTTAACTTGAAAATTTATAGTTATTAAAAATTCCAGCACATATAAATAATGCTTTAGATAATGCATGAGTTAATTAACAAATGAATAAAGCCAGCTCATACCTCTCAAAAGCCTACATTCTTATTATTGATCCTAATTGGCCTAATGTTATTGGGTCATTTATTTATGGGTACCCTTTTGAAAAAAGGAAAATAAAAGCAACAAACTTTACCAGGTTATCTTTCATTATACAAAAAAAGTATTCTTAACATTAACTTCTAAAAGACAGATGAATCATTGAAAAACAGAAATCCAAGGGACACTAGACAATAACAGCCAACTTTTGATAATACTTTGAAAAATGAATATACAGATGATTCTTTAGTTTGATAAACAAGATCACTGCACAGTTAATTGCGTTTGATTTTCATGCTTTTGGGAACAATACATATGAATCACCCTTTTCCTTACTGCGATGTTACAGTGTTTCAAGTAGGTCAAGGAAAGTTTTGATACAGGCTATCAGGTAACTAACTACAGCTATTATTTTTTACTTTTCAATACCTCTGCATCATGTCATTTAATTTTTTTTGAAAGAAACAAAATTCATTCTGCGAGACTGATAATGTTTTAACAAATGATAAATGAGTTTAGTTGTCTTGCCATAAAGTTCCAAGAATTTACAAAAAAGAATAAACGAAACTTTATCAATGAAGAAAATAAATTATGTCTCACACTACTCACAATGTTAGCTGCAAACTCTGTTTGTTCATAATTGGTAGTAAATACATCCACATGTTCAACAAACTTTTTCAACAAGCTGCTTGAGGATGATATCACCATGCAATCTAGTAATGTTTCATCTGAATGCTCTATCCTCTCATCAATTTTGCATTCATTATCCAACACATTTGCTTCATGGACCACATCTTGTAGCTTACTAGCAGCAGACAATCCAGTATCTCCAGTTTTCTCTATAATAGTTAGTATACCAATCATGTTTAATGAAACCACAAAAATGTAGAAGCAAATGTTTACTGATGATAGGGGCCACCTTGGTGACCCTTTTCAATATATTTCCATTGCTAATTTTTACTTTAGAAAAGGCCTTTTTCGATATAGGTATTATCATTAACTTATACTTTGAAACAGGTTACTGATTTGTCCAAAAGGTCAGTTAATATTTACTTCTATTTCTGTGGTTTAGCAGCAAGTAAAATTTGGGGTTTGAACAGCAAGACAACCAAAGGACAATAGTCAGATGTTACACCCTAGACATTCATTCCCTAGCGTGCAAATGAAAAGAAGTACATAATTACAATCGTTCATAACATTTTTGCTACTCCTATTTTGATTCTATATTATGGCTACAATTCTAGGGTTAATCAAAGTATTTGTCGATTTGTTGTTGAATAACTTACCAATCTCTTCAACTTTGTCTATTAGACGTCTGTATGACAATTTTCTCTCTTGAGGACTCATCTTCGTCAATAATGAGCGAGTATTTTCCTGTTCTTCCAGATAAAGCAATTCTGTAAATGGCATAATGGAATAATCTTATCAACACTTTTTAGATAAAATTCTCAAAAGGTTCATGAATAGTCTGTGTCGTCAAGCTTATTGTTTATGTTAGTCCTGTCACAGACACTTTCTGGCCATCTTGTCGGACGTGCTAACTGTTGTTGCGATTCTATATTGTGCTACCGAATCAGTCAAGAATTTTGAATTGGTAAACGCATGGTAGTATTCCTATTTGAAAAATGTATGACATCAAAACACGTTTTATTTAGATAAAATCGTGCAGAGTTAGCCATATATAATGTAGTTGATCGTGGCTGGTATTTTAAGTCCCCTCTATGTTACCATCCGTTGAATTCGAATTCTATATTAAAGTTAGTACTACAAAAAAGTCATCACATTTCAAATATCTCTTGATCTTCTCTATAAGTGGAGTTACTATCGTCGGACCCTTTCTTGTACCAATCATATTATAATTTTTTTTCTACCACACTAGAATCACTTAGGTATAGGTACTTTTATGGAACATAAACATCCAACTTGCGAATATGGTTTTTGTAACTTGTATAATATGAAGTAGTACTAGTATACCGCGTGTGGAACACAATATCTCGTATTAGTACAAGTTACAAGTAAATTCACTTGTGATTATTACACCATACTTCTTATGGAGTAGGGCCTCCAGTAACAAGCAAATACAAGTATTAGAGTGCAATACTGACAAAAAAATGACAATTCGTAGAGATGTGTAAATATGTAAAGTCGCTTTGAAGAAATTATGCATTTTAATCAGTTGATTCAGCGAGACATTAACGAAAGCATAAGCATGGAAAATCTTATAAAAATGAGACTGGCGGTCCGGTAAGAGCTTTTCAGAGAAATACACGTGACAGTACTCCAGAAATAACATTCTTCTACAGTTCAAATAATGTAAGAACAAGGTTCATTCAAAAGAGGAATGATTCAATAGAATGACAAAATTAGACAGGACATCTCAAGTTTCGATTTGTGGCAGGAATTAAGATATTACAAATGAATCAACTGTATTGTAGTAAAACATTGTGAGAAATTATACTATGCTAATCGGATCAGATAAATTTCTAGTGTCAGGGTCAGTGTCATTTATCTTATTTGCCCTTTATACCTGTGAGTACTAAAAATATTGCTTGACTTTTTTTTGTACGCAATAGTATCAAACAACTATTTCTACTTTTTTCTGCCAAACAGGAACCACTCGTAGAAAGTGGATTTGATATAACAAGATAAATATTACCACTTGTACACTTATGAAACATAAATATCTAACTTGTGAATAAAGTCTTGTATCTGGATTCTGTGCGGAACAACAACACCTTTGGAAGGGCCTTCAGGTTGCTACCTTTATTCCCCTCCAAACGAGAAACCTTTAGGTAACTTTGCATGGCTACCATAACACCATAATGGATATTTCAATTTTTGATTGCACATAAATATTCAGAATTCTCTCGCAAATCGGTTCCTCTCATATCTTAGAATGAAATCACCCTCATATCAAAGGTCACCAAAAGTAGTTCCTATCTATCATGCACAAGTCTCAAAGTATTCTCGCTTAATCCTATATCTTAAATTGCTCATACTAAACTTTGCTTTTTTAATAATCATCTAACTAAAGCAAAAAAAACATGTTATAGCTAACAGTGGAAATATGGTAAGCCATATTTTCTAGGTTTTTCATAGGATAATAACCCAATTGGGAAGGTGCTACAATCTAGATGCAAAGTCAATACTTGCAGTCTCAAGACTTGGCTGTACTTCTCTGATCTTATATGAAAAATTTCCCCTTCGATGCACTTACTCAATTAACTAGTGCTACATTCTAAGCAATTCCAGTTTCCGCTAGAATCATTATTCTTCAGATATCACATGAAAATTTCTTCCTCCAAACTCAAAGTGGAAAAACCACAGTAACCCCACAGGTATACTGTCAAGACTTGCAGTTTCAAAGTTATCTACATCAACTGTATTTCTGAGGCAAGATCCTCAAACGATAATAAAAAACACGCATGAGGTCATTCCTCGGAATTACAAGGCCTTCCCACATTAAGTTGCTAATGATAAACTAGTACGGCCTTCCACTCATGATAAACTCACACATAAACTTTCTTGCCGCCTTACAATAAATTTGTATCTATCTAATTCGAGGACAACTTTCGGATTCCCATCAATTTGCGTTTAATCTCAAAGTTAACAGTATGTGGTATCGATTACTAAAAATCAAAAGTACTTTCTACACCATAACTGTGACTACAGTCTAAAGCATCTCAATTAAGGAGATTTAATAACTTAAGGCTTTCATTTCACTATGGTACCATTCAACCTCGTACCGTTTCTGACATTGTTTCACCTAATAACGTCATTCCTTTCATGAGTTAATACAGTTCAGTATACTTTCACTCTCTCGCATAGACCACATTTGTAATTGGTATTTACTGTAGGGTGTTGTAATGAATAAAATAAAATAAAAATTAAATAAAATTTCACAGGCAATCGCGAAATGCATCCTAATCCGCCAAATATCGTTATTCTCTTAAAGAGTCAACCTACTTAACATAATTTTAATGCTGCATGGTGGAGTGTTTCACACTCCTGCATGGACCACATTTCACAGACGCTCATCATTGTAACCTAATCCGCCTATTTACGTTATTCCTTGAATGAGTCAGCCTACTTGACGTCATTTTAATGCTGCTTGGTAGAGTGTTTCACTAGTCCGTCCAGTATCGTGATTCCAGAACGAGTCAACCTACTTGACGTTATTTTGATATTGCATGTTGGAAAGTTCCACTCTCCCGATTAGATAGTTGTTGACCGTTTCAATCAGGGCCGTATGCTCCGCTGTTCGATTTTCGTCCGGCGGCGCGCATGACGTCACGCGGAGAGGGTGTTTCCCTCATCCTTAACGTAAACAACAATTAGCAACATCCTCACATACTACTGTAAGTTAATTTAAATTCATTTTACACTATTGTTGATACTGTTAGCAATGTAATTGCAACTCCTGATGATGATGGCAAAGACCATTGAAAGCTAGAGAGAATAAAAAAGTATAAACAGTCCTCCTTGCTTAAATTTTGTCGAAGTCCTAACAAAAGGCGGAAGCTTTAACTTTTCACCTAACTGGTCTAGACGACAATGCCCACGTCTCAATATATATATATATATATATATATATATATACAGAGTGACTTCGAGGTTGAGTCATTTATTTTAACAGTGAGTAGATCTGATCAAAAGAAATGTTTTTTTCCTTTAACATTTTTCTAGTAAAATTAAAGTAACAAAGTTATAGCACTTTAGAAGTTTGAGTACCGCCCTGTCTCAATAATAATATTATGTGCTCGTGTTTGTCAACAACGGATATAATCCGCGTTATCGGTTCATCGCATCGGAAACAAAAAAGCGAAAGAATTTGAAACGTTTATCACGATGTCAGTCAATGTTTCAGTCGGTAACGCGTCAGTGAATAGTGGTGTTTGTTGCGTGGCTCAAACGAAATAAAAAATGGCACATGTTTACGAAAATGCTGAACTTGTGGACATGATTTTTCTTTACAAAATGCTGCCGCGGCATCACGGATTTGTGCGAATCGGTTTCCCAATCGAGTGCAACCAACCCCTCGTGCCTTTGTTAATATAGTACAAAGGGCTCGTGAATCAGGAGACTTAAGACCTTACAGGGGAGGGCCTGCCGGTGCTCCAAGACCGCACGATCAAATACAGGTCCGCACTGAAATACTTGTCGGGAGGATACTTCATAAAACAAGGTAACATTTTTTTTTAATGTTTTTTTATTTTTACACACATATTTTGGTTTATCTTCCTTCTACAATCATTATCTGAAAATTAATGACTCAACTTCAAAGTCACCCTGTGTATATATATATATATATAATAATCAAACATTGTTAACAAAAAGTTTACGTCAGAAAGAAAAGAGGCTGCCGTGCATTCTTTAAGAAAAGTTCAAATATTTGCGACTCCTGATGATGGCTCCATAACGTGCCGAAAGCTCGCGATTCCCGTCAAAAGAGTTTATTAAGCCTAAAAGTAGTAGATAGATAGGGTTTGTATGTTCTGGGGACGCCCTTGAGCGCCAACCTTCGGTGCCAAACGACCTTGAGAGCTGACCTTCGGTGCCAACCTTGAAATGTAACCTTGAAACGTGACATTGAGTTTCCGAGTGACCTTGAAGTGTGACCTTGAGTTTTTCGAGTGACCCTGGAGTGTGACCTTGAGTTTCCGAGTGACCTTGAGTTTTTCGAGTGACCTTGAAGCGCGACCTTGAGTTTTCGAGTGACCTTGAAGAGTGACCTTGAGTTTCCGAGTCACCTGAGATGTAGAAGGGATGACCTTGGAAATATGTGCTTAAATTGTAGAAATCGTGGAGAGAAGTCAGTTGTTAGCAAACAGCCTGTGGCGGTGGTAAGCCCGTTTAAGATAAAGTCTTCCCCTCAAGAAGAAGAAAATTGGGATGATGATCGATGGCTCATGGATACCACACCACCTCACCAGCCGACGGGATCCAGCCCCCCCTTGGACACTACACCGGTTCGGCGGGATGGATTCCGAAGATATGGACCCAGGAACCCTGTTCCGGAATTGCCAACGGAAGAAAATTGGGATGATGATCCACCTTCTGAAACGGGATCCAGGACGTCCATGGACTCTACACCGGTTCGGCGGGATGGATTCCGAAGATATGGACCCAGGAACCCTGCTCCGGAAGTGCCAACGGAAGAAAATTGGGATGATGATTCACCTGCTGAAACGGGATCCAGGACGCCCATGGACACTACACCGGTTCGGCGGGATGGATTCCGAAGGAACCCAGGAACCCTGCTCCGGAAGTACCAACGGAAGAAAATTGGGATGATGATCCACCTGCTGAAACTTACATCCCTAATGTAGAAAATAGACCCATTATTAGAGATGTACCTCCAGGCATGTCGCGTAATGCGAGACTGAAAGCTGCTACACACAGTGCCGCCGGGTTTGTGCCGAGCGGTTATGCCGCCGGCACAAGCCGTCAAGCATCATTCCGGTTGGGACAGTCACATAGAAAGCTAGTGAAGTGCTGCATTTCTGGGATTCCATAATATATCATTTTGTTGATCGTACTAACACTCACAGGAAAATAAATTATGTTTTACGGTGCTTCCACTATTTTATACCCAGCCGGAACAGTTGGGAAAAATTGATGGATGATGTGACTGGGTTGTCCATTTCTGAAAGAACCTGCAGCCATGCTATACTCGATACAGAGTGCATTTACTTTTAATATTTCTATTGCGAAATCGGACTCGTGCAGTATATTTTTCTGCAAAACTCGGGGTTCAAAGCCCAATATGCGACCAATAGTATTTTTTGAAGAAAAATCGATGTCACAATTGGCTTGTAAAGTAACGGTGGATGTAGTTTTGTTGGCGGTAAGACTAATTTGCAGTCCTGATGGAAGTTTTTGTTGTAAGGCGGTAGCCAACTCTGAAATTTCATAGGAACCGATAGGAAGTTTAAACGATTGGCGATCACTGGCAATTGAAGATG